CCGGTACCGGCACCGGTACCGGCACGGGAGGCCCTGCCCACCCCTTGTTCCGCCCCCTTCCGCGGCACTGGCGGTAAATCGGTGTCCGCTCCTTCTCTTCCCGGCTTCCGTGCAGCCCCGGTGTTCTTGAGTCCCTGATCCTCCCGGTACGGGGCAGTCCCCGGTGTCCGTGAGCCCCCGGTACCAGGCAGACCCTGAACTCCACAGGTGCTAAGAAACTCTCAGTGTCTCCAGAACGGGACAGCTCCGTTATCCCCCAGCATGAGCCAGTCCTGGTTTCCGCCCCGATACTAGAGGGCCCCTGGTTCCCTCGGTCTTCCCCCTGGTGTTCGTAACCCCCAAGCCCCTCGGTATCAGGCAGATCCCAGTGATCCCATGGTATCCCGTTAGCCCCAGTGTCTCCCGATACCGCACAGAACCAGCCAGTCCAGCTTGTTTCCCCTGGTACCAAGAGCCATCCATGTCCTCCTGGTGTCCCACTGCCCCCCATCCCCTCTCACCCCTGTGGTCCCTGTCCCTAACTGGCCCTGGGGGATATGGGGGGGAGTGAGGGATCACGTTGAGGTGTTTCCTGTTACCCATCCTTGTTCTTGTTCCCATTCCCATTACCAGTATTCCTATTTCCCATTCCCTGGATGGGCCTGCTTGGTGCTGGAGCTGTACTAACAGCACAGCCCCCTGACTTTTGTCTCAAACTGGGGTCAGGGAGTCACAATTCTTGCCCTGCAGCTGCAAGAATTGACCCTATAGGTGGAAGAGTTTACAGCAGGGTGACCCACCCTGTCTCCTGTTCCCATTCCTGGTGCTGTTCCCCATTCTCAGTGTCATTCCTGTTCCTGGTTTTCCCATTCTCAGGATGGGCTCTCCAGTGCTGGAGCTGTACTGGCAGAAAAAGCCCATAGCTTTGGTCTGAAACTGGTTGTGGGAATCACAGTGTGATGATCCTGTCTCCAGTTCCCATTCCCATTCCTGCTGTTCCCATTCACAGAATGAGCCTGCTGGTGCTGGAGCTGCACTGGCAACACAACCCCTGGCTTTGGTCTGAAGCTGGGGATGTGGATACCACTTTGGGATGTGGGGATTACTTCCCCATTTCTGATACCTTTCCCGTTCCCATTCTCTGTGTTCCCATCCCAGGATGGGCCCACTTGTGCTGGAACTGTACTGGCAACACGCCCCCCGCACCTGCAAGAACTTTGCTGAGCTGAGCCGCCGCGGGTACTACAACGGCACCAAGTTCCACCGCATCATCAAGGACTTCATGGTGCAGGGAGGGGACCCCACGGGTACTGGTGAGCACAGGCCTCTGAAATCTTCCTGGGACCTGCTCTGGTGCCAGGGGTTCCTGCTGACCCCCAAATTCCCCTGCAGGCCGTGGTGGCGCCTCCATCTACGGGAAACAGTTCGAGGATGAGCTGCACCCGGACCTGAAGTTCACTGGTGAGTGGGGCCAGCACTGGGAGAGCACTGGAGGGACATCCCTGGGACCCCAGGACCCCACCTATAGAGGGGCAGGACCCCTGAGAACACACTTGTGGAATGGGATGGGATGTCCCCTGTGTCTTCATCCTGGGAGTGACATGACTCCCAGGACTCCAGTCATGGGGTGGGCATGTCTCAAGGAGGCTGGTCATGGAGTATGTCCTCCAGGACCCTGGCCATGAGGTGGCATGTCTCCCCTGTCCCCCAAGATCCTGTCTATAGGGTGACAAGTTCTCTGTGTCCCCAAATCCCCATCCATGGAGTGACATGACCCAAGGAGCTTTGCCACGGGATGCTCTATTTCCGCATTTCTGATGTGACATGTCCCTGTGTCCCACAGACACCAGGATCCTGGCAATGGCCAACATGAGGCTGGACACTAACAGGAGCCAATTCTTCCTCATGTTCCCCTAAGACCTCTCCATTGGATGGCATTTTCCCCATAACACCAGAACCTCAGCCAGGGGATGACATGTCCCTGAGACCCCATCCATGGTGTGGCATGTCCTCCATATCCCCCGGACCCTGTCCCTGAAATGGCATGTCCTCCAAGACCCTGTCCATAGCATGGCATATCCCTCAGGGTGCCAGGATCCTTGGCCCATGTCCCACAGGCACTAGGATCCTGGTGATGGCCAGTATGGGGCTGGACACCAATGGGAGCAAGTTGTTACTGATGTCCATTAAGACTCCTCTGTCAGGTGACAGGTTCGTCTGCAGCCTGTCCATGGAGTGACATGTCCCAGGGATCGTAGCCATAGGATGACGCCCTCCAGGATCCCAGTCTTGGAGTGACATGTTTCCCATGATACAGGGGTCTTGGCCATGAGATGACATCCTCCCATGGGATGACATGTCCCCTCTCATGCTGGAACCTTGGCTGTGGGGTGGCATGTCCCCTGTATCCCCATCCATAATGTGACATGTCCCCATGTCTCACAGGCGCCGGGATCCTGGCAATGGCCAATGCAGGGCCGGACACCAATGGAAGCCAATTTTTCCTGACACTGGGCCCAGCACAGTGGCTGGATGGGAAGCACAGCATTTTTGGGAGGGTGTGCCAAGGAATGGGGGTGCTGGGGCGCCTAGCCATGGTGGAGACTAACTCCCAGGACCGACCCCTCGATGATGTAAAGGTCATCAAGGCGTATCCCTCGGGATAGGGGTTGTGGGGTACCTCCCTCCAAATTGTACTGCTCATTTATTTGTAATAAAGGAAGTTGGATGTGATGGGCTCCCTCACAGAGTGGTGGTTTTAGGGGGAGGTGGGGGAAATGTCTTTGGCATAGTGGGGTCTGGGAGGTTGTGAGCCCCCCCGAAAAGGGTTTGTGGGTGCCCTTGGAGGGGTGGGTGTGTCTCCTTGGGGACATGGAGCTCCCAGTGGCCCCACTTCCTGGGCATGCAGAGTGGATGCCAGAGACCCAAATTTACCCCTATTGTGTTGTGTCTGTGTGTCCTCAAAGTTTCCTGGGACACCCCAGAATGTCCCTCTACTATGGACCCATTGGATCACTGAGCTTTGGGTGGAAAGGGGGGGTTGGTGCTGTCCCCCCAGAGTGGGCTCCCCACACAGCACTGGGGACCCTCAAACTGGCAGCAGAGTCCTCAAGCCAGCACACACTGGGTTCTCCCCAGCACTGGGTAACCCCCCCAGCAATGGGTGTCCCCTCTGGTGCTCGATGTCACCCCCCCTTGCTCCCAGTGCAGGACCCGGGACGGTACTGGGAGCTGCTGGATGTTACCAGAATGGTGCAGGGGAGGTACTGGGAGCTACGGAAGGATAGCAGAGGACTGGGGGACTCTGCATCTGCAGTTGCAGGGGCTGTGGGGATACTGGGAAGGTTCTGAATAAGGGGGAACTAGGGGGATTGGGACCTCAATCTGTGGAGTGGGTGGTATCAAGAGTGTCACAGGGGGCTGCACTGGGAGTGTCAGAGGGGTGCTGGGGCTACTGGGGAGGGAGCACTGGGGGTCTGGTCTGGAGGTGATCCCGGGGGTGGTTACCAATGGTCCGTGGTGTACCGGGGTCTGGAGGCAGCCTCGGGGGCAATCCCAAGGCAGTAGCAGTGGTCTCGGGGTGATCCCGGGGCTGATCATTGGTACCCGCGTCCGGGGGGCACTGAGGATGGGGAGGTGGCACTGGGGACGATGCAGGGAAAGGCACCGGACTTCCTCGGACTGATGCCGGGGATGTGGGGCTGATGCCGAGGATCTGAGAGCTATCCTGTGGGACAGTACCGGTGGTCCGAGGCAGTCCCGGGAATGGTGAGGCAGCCTGGCGGGCGATGCGGGGGAGGCGGCAGTGGTCAGGGGAGGTACAAGGGATTTGGCGTTGATCCCGGAGCGATCCCGGGAATCTGGGGGGGATCCCGGGGGCAGTACCGGGCTTCCAGGCGGGAACCGGGCTGTTGAGGCGGCGCTGGGGTTGATGGGGGGGGCATGCCGGAGATCTGGGGGCGTTTTCGAGGCGGAGCCGGAGGGGTCCCCCGGGCCCAGGAGGTACCGGGGATTTGGAAGGATGCCTGCAGGCGGTGCGAGGGTAGATCGCAGGAATCTGGGGGTGATTCCGAAAATTTCGGGGCGATCCCGTGGGCAGAATCGACGGTCCGTGGGGGTACCGGGGAAGGGGAGGCGGCCCTGGGGGTGATCCCGGAGGCGGTGCCGCGGATCTGGGGACGATCCTGGGGGCGGTCCCGAGCTGGTCCCGGTTTCCCCACTGGCGGTCGCCAAGAAGACTCTGGGGCACTCCCTCGGTGCGCGGCCGGGGCCGGTGCCGAGAGCCCCGGGCGGTGCCAAGGGCGGTCCCGGGGCGGAGCCGATCGCGATCGTGGTGCTGGTGCCGGTGTCGGGGCAGCGACGGAGCCCGGGGCATGGCGGGCCTGGGCGCCTCGGAACCGGGCACCGGATCCAGTCCCGTCCCGGCCACTCGCGTGGAACTCACGGTGTCCTGCAGGTAGCGGGGCCGCGGCGGGAGCCGGCACCGGGCGGCGGGGGCGCGGGGAGGCGCTGGTGCTGGCGTTGGAAGGTGCCAGGAGGCACTGCGTTGCACTGGGTTGCACTGTGGTGTAGGGGTAGCTGCCGTTGGAGGGTGCTGGGATGCACAGAGAGGCACTGGGAAGCACTGGGGAGCGGCGTTGGAGGGTGCTGAGGTACACTGTGAGGGATTGAGATCCCGTGGGATGCACTGGGAAGCATTGGAGAGCTGGGAGCAGATGGCGTTGTAGGGCACTGGGTCGCACTGGAACGCAGTGAGACGCATTGGGAGGTACTGGAGTGCCACAGCAGCTGGCGTCGAAGGATGCCGGGGTGCACTGTGATGTACTGAGATCCCCTGGGATGCTCTGGGAGGCACCGGAATGCACCGGAGAGTGGGAGCAGTTGGTGGTGTGAATTGCTGAGATGTTGTGGAATGCACTGAGATGCTCTGGAAGTCACCGGGAGACACTAGGGAACGGGGTGCAGTCGGCAATGAAGAGCACTGGGAGGCACTGGGAAGCAGGGCAGCTGGCGCTGGAGGCACTGAAATGCATTAGGAGGCACTGGGATTCACTGGAAGACATTGGAATGTGCTGGTGGGCGTTGGGGAGCATGGGGAGTACAGGGAGTGTTGGGTATGGGGACAGAAGGGCACTGGGTAAGCCAAAGGTGCTGAGGGTGCGGGGCACTGAGGGGGAGTGGGGGGCATGGGGGGGGCATTTGGGGTCTCGGACTGGGAGTGCAAGAAGGTCGGGTTTGGGGGATTCTGGGGATGCAGGGGAGTCGGGTTGGACCCTGTATCCCCTGCACCCCCTGTATCCCTTGCCCACCCTGAAACTCCTGAATCCTCTGGCCGGGCTGCACTGCACCATTGCATCCCTTGTACCCCCTGCCCACCCTGCAGTCCCTGTACCCTCCCCCTGCAACTGAGGTCTTTTTTTGGTGTCCAGACACATAACTGCACCCCTGACATATGGCACTCTTAACATGTGTCGTGCTGTGCACCCTGTGCAAATGTGTCTGTGCACCCCAACGTGTGTTGTGGGGCACATCTGGCAGTGCACCCCAACATCCAACCATGCTCACCAACACCTGGCCATGCTCACCAACACTCTGTGGAGCACCCTGACACATGGTTGAGCCCCAAAGCACATGGCCCCCCAACATGTGTCAGACATGCTTTGCACGCCAATCCCTGTCCTGGGGCACACCTGGCTGCGCACACCCTGCCACCCACCCTGTCACAACAGGGCATGACATGTAGCTGTGCACCTCAACGACATGTGGCTGTGCACCTCAACGTGGGTTCTGGGGCACATCTTACTGCACAATGGGTACACACAGTCACAGACACAGCCAGGTGCTCACATTCACATTCACATTCACATTCACATTCACATTCACATTCACATTCACATTCACATTCACACACACACTCTCACACTCACTCCTCCCTGCCCCCCAGGCAGCTCCTGGACAGGGACACCTTCTCCAAGTCGGACCCAAGTGAGTGAGGCAGGGGGGATGGGGTGTGTTTTGGCTCTTAGGTGTTTTGGGGAGTTTCTGGGGGGCTTGGGGTCTCTGGAAGGTGTTGTGCACTTAGGGGATTTTTATATCTGTGGGGGGGTTGGGGGTGTCTAGGGGATTGGGGGGATCTCTGAGGTATTTTGGGAGTATCTGGGGGTTCTGGGGGTCTCTGGGAGNTGCACGGCTGCCTCCTCAGGCAGTGATGTGGGCCCCCTCCCCGTGCCCCGGCCTCGGCAGAGCCTCCAGGAGCAGCTCAGCGGCCTCACCCCCATTGCCATGAGCATCCGCACAGGCACCGCTGACGAGGACTCCTCTGGCTCTGAGTGAGTGCCCACCACATCTGAGGGGTGCTCACTGGGAGTTCTTTGGGTGCCAGGATGCCCTCTGGGCACCTCTTGGGTTTGAGGGTGCCCTTGGGGTGCCAGGGTTTCTGTTGGGTGGACAAGCAGTCAAACACCACTTGTTGGGTACCCTTTGGGTGCTTATCAGATGCAAGGATAGCTGGGTACCAGGGTGCCCAGGTTCCTGTTGCACTCCCATTTGGTGCCAGGGTTTCTCTCAGGTGCCAATTGGGCACACATTGGATCCAGCACTTCTTGGCTGCTCATCAGGTGCCACAGTAATGACTGAACACCCATTGGGTACAACATTACCTGTCGGGTATCCATCAGGTTCCAGGGTTCCCTTTGGGTGTCCACTGGGTGTCAGGGTGCCCAACGGGCGCCCTTTGGATGCCCATCAGGTGCCAGGGTTCCTTCTTGGGTGTTCATCAGGTCCCAGCAATCCCTTTGGATCCAATGAATATCGGGTGCCAGATCCAATGAATATTGGGTGCCAGGGTGCGCATTGGTGCCCATCACATGTAGGGTGTTTGTTGGCTGTCTGTAGGGTGCCAGGGTAACCAACAGGTGACCATTAAGTGTCAGTATTCCTCTTGGGTGCCCATGGGGTTTTCCACTAGATTCCTACTGGGTGCCCATTGAGGGTTGAGGAACCCACAGAATACCCACTGGATACCCACTGAATACTCACTGGGTGTTCTTCAGGTCTAAGTGCACCCACTGGATGCCAGCTGACTGTCTGTGGGTGCCCATTGGATGCCCATTGTGCATCCATTGACCATTATGTGTCCATTTGGTGTCCACTGACTGCCCATTAGGTGCCTAATGACTTCTGTGTGCACACTGGGTGCCCCTTGGGTCTAATAGCACCTGTTGGGTGTGCATTAACTGTTCGTGAGTGTCCACTGACCACTGGGTGCCCCTCGGGTCTAACAGTGCCCATTGGGTGTTGGAGTGCATGTTGGGTGCCCACTGACTGTCCAAAGGTGCCCGTTGACCACTGGGTGCTCACTAGGTGTCAGGGTGCCCATTGGAGTGTTCACTGGGTGCTGGGGTGCCCACTGGGTACCCCTGACCACCCACAGATGCCTAGGGCAGAGGTGGCACAGCAGCACTAACTCTACTCTTTTCTCCCCCTCTACCCCCCAGATTTCTGTTTTTTAATTTTCTCCATTAACCCAAGGGGGCTGGGGGCTCCCCCCCAAACCCCACCCCACCATCTCCCCCCAGGGGTTGGCGCTGGGTGCTGGGAGGCACAGAGGGCACCCTGGCATCCACCTCCTCCATCATGCATCTGTCTGTCTTGTTTTTTATTCTCCCCCCATCCTGCACTTTGTATCCATCCCCCCCCTCCCCCATCTGTCCGTCCCCCCACCAGGAGCGACGAGACCTCGATCTAATGGGGACCCACCCAGCAGGCAGCCCACCCACTGTGCCAGGGACACCAGGACAAGGAGGGCACCAGCATGGTGGGGGCGGGGGGCAGAACACACCAGGACTGGGGATGCACAAGGACTGGGAGGACATCAGGAAGGAGCAGGGAACCACAATCATCCCCTCAGTGCACTTTGCATCCTTGCAGGGATTGGCACCTTGGGATGATGGCACAGGGTGCCCCTGTTGTCCCCCCATGATCACCCCCAGCCCCTTTGCCCAGCAGAGTGTTTTATTTAAAAAATACATGAAAATACAAAAAAAGGAATTTATAACCAACTCCCCCGTTGTGCCAACCCCCCTTGCCCTCCAAGGTGCCAACTCCCATGAAGGTGCAACCCGTCCCATGTGCCAACTCCCCAGGTGGGGAGCATGTGGAGGGGGGGATCAGGTAGGGGTTACAGGGAAATCTGGGACCCCCCCCTGCCCAGAGGCTCAAGTGGGGGAACCCAGGGATGGGTGTTGGGGGGATGAGGGGCCCCTGGGTGCTGGGGAATGTGGGGGGTTTCCTACTGCTGATGAGACCTTTTGTAATTAAAGCAAAACTCAATGAGTGCCTCGGCTCATCCCTGGGGACACCCCTGGCTCTGCCACCCCAACGTCAGCTGGTCCCTGGGGGTTCCAGCTCTGCCCTGTGACCTGTTAACCCAACGGGTGCCTTGGCTGCTCCCTGGGGGCCCCTGGTGCTGCCTGCCTCCTTCCAAAACCCAGTGGATGTCTCAACTCATCCCTGGGGTGGCCTTGGCTCTGTCCCCCCCAGCCTAGGTACCTTAGCTGGTACCTAGGGGGGGGCTGGGTGCCCCCAGGGCCTCTGGGTGGGTGTGGGGTGGTTTGGGGGTGTCACCTCGGGGTGCTGCTCACCGCCGTCTTGCGGGAGGACCGCAGGCGGGTGGGAGGGGGTCCTGGTTTGCACCCCAAGGCACCAGTTGTGGGGGCTGCCCGTGCTGCCCCTGCACCTGCAAAGGAGAAAGAAGCCACATAGAAACTGAGGCACGGGGGATGGGGCATCCCCTGCGTCCCCCAAACCCCATTACATCCTTACCTCTGGGGGTGGGGGTCCTCCCACCCGCTGCTGGAGCCCGAGGGGACAACTTGGGGAGGGCAGTGGGTGCCGGGGAACAGCCGGAGGGCACAGGGGTGGTGGTGGTCCTGGTGTGGGGCTGGCGGGTCGGGGGGGGACAGGAAACTGTGCCCCCCCTCACCTTAGCCTGGCCTGGGGAGAGAGGGGGGATTGGAGTCTGGCCCAGGAGCCCCCGTGGCCATGGTGTCCCCATTCCCTTGCCATAACTACCTGCTGTTCCCCCCTGGGGGGGCTCTGACCTGCCCCGGGCACCAGCCCTCTGCCCCTGGGGAGGGCATGGCCGGGGTGGGCCCGCACGGCTGGGGGGGAGCCCCCTGCTACCCAAGGGTCCCTTTGCCGCTGCTGTGGAATTACGGCTGGGAGGTGCCTGAAAATAGAGCGGGGGACATGGAGACATCATTCAGTGAGTGCCCCCTCACCCACAGGGCTGGGGGGTTCACAATGCCCCTTGGAGACAGGGGGACACTCACTGCCCCCATCTAGGATGGGTTTGGGGGGGATCTGGGTGTTCAGCACAGGTGGGACACAGCCACACTGGGACCCCCTACCCCTGGGTCTCACCTACCTTGGGGACACTGGTGGCAGCANGGTTGGGGGTGTCTAGGGGATTGGGGGGATCTCTGAGGTATTTTGGGAGTATCTGGGGGTTCTGGGGGTCTCTGGGAGCATGAGTGTCTCTGGGGAGTGTTGTGGTCTCTGGGAGTTTTTGGGGTCTCTGACATGTTTTGTGAGGTCTCTGGGATTGTTGTGGTTCTATGAGGGTTTGGAGGTCTCAAGGACATTTTGAAGGGTTCTGGGGGTTTTGGGAACACTGGGGAGTGTTGGGGTCTCTGGGGGTTTTGGGTGGTCTTTTGGGTTTTGTAGATCTCTGGGGGATTTGGAGACTCTCTGAGGTATTTTGGGGGTGTCTGGGGGAGTTTAGGGGGTTATGGGGGGGTTCGGGAGTGTCTGAGGTGTTTTGGGGGCTCTCTGGGGGGTTTTGGGAGTCTCTAACAGTTTTGGGGGTCTCTGGGGGTGCCTGCCTCCCCTGACCCCTCCCCCTGCAGTCTGTGTGCTGTACACGCAGCGCCCTGGCAGCCACCAATGGCGGGAGGTGAGTGACCCGATTGGTGGGGGGCAGCCAATCAGCATGTTGGGCTGTGCTCAGCTGTTCAGTTGGCATGTCAGCCAGCCAATCAAGATGTTGGGGTGCTAGCTCGCCAACCAATCATCAGCATGCTGGGCAATGAATAGTCAGCATGTCTGTGTGCCAACCAGATGGCAAATCAGTCAGAGGTGATGGCAGCCAGCCAGCCAAGTAGCATGTAAGATTCTGGCCTATCAGCATGTTGGGGTGATGGCCAGCTGGCCAATCAGTGTGTTGGGGTGCCAACCAGTTGCCCAGTCACCAGTGAGCAATCAGCATCTTCGGATGCAGCACCTGGACAATGAGCATTCTGGGATGCGGCAGCCATCCAATCAATGCCTGGGGGCAGAGCGATCAGCCAACCAGCATCCTGGGGATCTGGGGAGCATGTCGATGTGCCAGGCAGCCAGCCAATCAGCTGTCGGCACGCAGCCAGGCCCCCTGTAATTAACAGTGTGTTAATTGCGGGGTAATGAGTGGGGGTGGGACGGCCCCGAGGCACAAAGCAGCACCTGGGCCCTCCCCGCCCCTGCCCACCCCTTTCGTGCTCCAGCCTGGGCCTGCTGCCCACCCTTGCCCCACCTCCTCCGCCCACATGTGTCCTCATGTCCTCATGTCCCTGTGTCCCCATGTTGCTATGTCCCCATATCCTCATGTTCCCATGTCCCCAGCCCCATGCCCACATGTTGTCATGTCCCTGTGTCTCTATGTCACTGTGTCCCCATATCTGCATGTCCCCATGTCCACATTCTCATGTCCCACTGCCCCCATCCCTATGCCCCACCCTCATTCCCATACCCCTGTTTTCTGGTGCTGTTCACACATCCCTGTGTTCCCATGTCTTCATGTCCCTGTGTCTTCATCCCTATGCCCCCATGACTTTGCATCTCCATGTCCCCACATCCCTGTATCCCCCATCCCCCCTATCCATGTTCTCATGTTCCCATCCCTATGCCCCCATGTCTCATCATCTCTATGTCCCCATGTCCCCGTGTCCAAATCACCACATCCCCATGTCCCTGTGTCTCCATGTCCCTGTCCCCATCCCATGTTTTCCTGTCACCCTATCTCCACTGTCCCCATATCCCCCAGTTTGGCCGGACCGAGGTCATCGACAATTCCCTGAATCCTGACTTCCTGCACAAGTTTGTCCTCGATTATTGCTTTGAGGAGCGGCAGAATCTGCGCTTTGACCTGTGAGTGGCCCTTGTAGTCCCAGTGTCACCCCCAGTGTCAACCCTCTGTCCCCCAGGGTCACCCCCTGGCCACCCTGGCACAGCCCCCCAGGGTGTCCTTGTCCCCATCCTTGTTCTGTCCCCATTCCTGGACCATTACCACCCTTGTTCACATCACTGTCCCTATCATTGTCCTGTCCCATTGTCATGCTTATCCTGGACTGGATAGTCCCCATTCTGTCCCTGCCCCATCCTGTCCCTATCCACATCTCATCCCTGTCCATTCTATTGTCCCCATCCCATCCCATCCCATCCCATCCCATCCCATCCCATCCCATCCCATCCCATCCCATCCCATCCCTTTACCCATCCTTGTCCCATCCTACCCCTATTCTTTTCCCCATCCCATCCCCACACCTAATCCATCCCTATTTGTGTACCATCCCTCTCTCATCCCATCCCTCCCACTCCCTGTCTCCCTCCCATCCCATCCCTGTCTCCATCCCTGTCCCATCCAAGGCCCCCCCTTCCTGTTCCATGCCCACATGTTCCCTCTGCCCCCAGGTATGATGTGGACTCCAAGAGCCCTGACCTCTCCAAGCATGTAAGTGCAGGATCAGTCCGCCCTGCTCTCCTGGCCTCCCTGGGATGGGCATCCACCTGGTGACACCCAGTATTCCTGATCCTGCAGGATTTCCTGGGCCAGGCATTCTGCACCCTGGGGGAGATCGTGGGCTCAGCCGGCAGCCGCCTGGAGAAGCCCCTGACGTGAGCCCCCCCTTTGCCCCAGTGTCCCCGTGTCCCACCCAGTGAAGCCCCTGATGTGAGCCCTCTTGTGCCCCAGTATGCCCATGTTCTTCCTAGAGAAGCCCCTGACATGAACCCCTCCCAGCCCCAGTGTCCCCATGGCTCTGCCCCCACCCACTTCCCTCCCCTTCCCCAAGAAGCCCCTTGTTTGAGCCTCCACTGTGATCCAGTGTTCCCCAGAGTCCTCAGGGTCCCCATGCCCTCCACTGGAGAAACTCCTGATGGTAGCCCCCCTTGTCCCCAGTGTCCCATGGTCCCTATGTCTCTGCCCCAGGGAAGCTCCCAATATGAGCAGCCTCCCCCACTGATCCTCATGTCCCCATGACCTCTCCCATGGAGAAGCCCCTGACATAACTCCTGCCTGTGCCCCAGTGTCCCTGAGGTCACCATGTCCTCTTTGAAGAAAATCTTGCGTTTCTCCAAAACCAGTGTTTTGGAGAAAAGTGGGAAACTCAGTGTCCCCATGTCCCCCCCTGGAGAAGCCCTTGCCATGAACCCCCATGGTCCCAGTGTCCTCATGTCTCCCTAGGTCCCTTTTGGTGTGCCCAGGATGGACCCAGACCTCAGAGCCAACAGTGGCATTTTGGATTGGAAGGGGGGGGGAGGGGTGTCTGGCTTCTTTTTTTTTTTTTCTTTTGGGGGTGGATTTTGGCAGGAAAGGCATTTTTGGGGGGTCTGACTTTTTGGTGGGATTTGATGGGTCTGGCTCTTTCTTGGGATGGTGGCTTTTGGAAGGAATATGGGTTTGGGGGATCTGGCTTTTGAAGGGTCTGGCTTTTAGGGGGGCTCTGGCTTTTGGAAGGGTCTGACTTTTTGGGGCTGGCTTTTTCAGGGGCAGTTTGTTTTGTGAGAATTGACTATTTGTGGGGGCTGAATGTCTTTTGGGGACTGGCTTTTTTGAGGGGAGAAACAGCTTCTTTTTAGGGTGCTGGAATCTGGGGCGGAGCTGGGTTTGTTTTTTTTTTTTTTTTTGTAGACTTCCTTTTTTTGGGGGGGGGTGCTTTTTATTGGGTGGGGATCCCCTCCATCACCCTTCAGCATGTGTTCCTGCAGGATGGGAACAGCCACCATGCACCCCCGGGGCAGAAGACTTGCCCCAGCTGCCTCCCATGGGTAAGTTTTGGGGTGCTCAGTGCACGGGGGACCCCCCCAGGGCACCATGTGTGCCCCCACTCTGCTCACATCTCATCCCAGCAGTGGCATTCCGGGGAAGAAGTGTGGCACCATCATACTCCTCGCTGAAGAGTTGGGAAACTGCCGGGTGAGCCGCGGCGGGGCGGGGGATGGGGTGTAGCTGGGGAACCCCGCAATATCGGGGTTGGCTGAGACACACTAGTCCGCAGATGAGAGTGTGGGCTGTTTATCCATCCTGCCTGTCCTGGATCCCTCCCCTCATGGAGCAGCTGCCCCAAAGGATCCCACCCCTGAGGGGAGTGCATGGTGGATGATCTCCCCCCCCCGATTCCACCCCCCAGGACGTGGCCACACTCCAGTTCTGCGCCAACAAGCTGGATAAGAAGGATTTCTTTGGAAAGTCTGACCCCTTCATGGTCTTCTACCGCAGCAACGAAGACGGAACGTGAGTGACCCCCCTTCAAAACTGCAGCGACCCTCCCACACCTCATGTGAGGGCTCAGCCCCAGCACAGGACACCTCTATGTCCCCATGGGCTGGCATTGGCGGGGGTGTCTAAAAATCCTCACTGCACTGTGGGGGTGACAGACTGGGGGGTTGTTGGGCTGGGGGAGTGACTCCCTTTTACTCCTTGTCTTTCCCCCAGTTTCACCATCTGCCACAAGACAGAAGTGGTGCGGAACACACTGAACCCCGTCTGGGCAGCCTTTGCCATTCCTGTGCGTGCCCTCTGCAATGGGGACCATGACCGGTGAGTGAGGGGACTGCTACCCCCTGCACCCCCTCTTCGGCCCCAAAGACCTCCTTTTCCCTCTTCCCCCCATCTCTAGGGTCCACTAACCCTAACCCTAACCCTGAACCCCCTTCTCCCATCTCTGTCATACCCGGAAACCACCTGCACTTCCATCTTTGTAGTCCTCTGAGACCCCCCGAACCACCTTCCTCCCATCTCTATGGGCCCTCAGGACCCCTTTTCCTTCTTTCCCCCATCTCCCAGGTCCTCCAGGAACCCCTGCACCCCATGTCCCTATCTCTGTGGTACCTCTGGACTCTCAGAGCCTCCCTCACTCCATGTCTATGGTACCCCAGGATCCCCTTCCCCTCTCTCTGCAGTCCCCCAGAATCCCTTCCCCTGTGTCTGTGGTACCTCAGGACCCTCTTTACCCCCTTCTCCTCATCTCTGTGGTACCTCAGGACCCCCTGCAGTGCTTCCACCTTCTCTGTGGCCCCATGAGACACCCTCTGTGGCCACCTCAACTCCCAGAACCCCTTCCCCTGTCTCTGTGGTACCAGTAGCACACCCCCCACCTTCCCCACCGTGTTACCCACTTTTGCCCTTTTGCCTCAGTTTACCCATCTGGGCAATGGGCATCACAGCTGTCACCGAGCTATTCCTCCCCCCCCGCCCCCCCGCCCCAATCCCAAACCAGTGTCATCAGCTACTGTCCTGGCAAAAATCTCTTCACACTGCTTTGGCCCCACGTTGAACGTTGCTGTGGCAACGATGGATAAAAATATCCTGAGGAGGAGAAGGAAGCAGGAAAAAGCCCACAGAGGCATCAAAACAAATCCCACAGGGAGTGGGGGGTTGTGTGTGACGGGTCCCCAGGTGAGGGGGGGGGTGATGTTGGGATTTGGGGGTGTCGGTGACCCCCCCCTCTGCCTTGCAGAGCCATCAAGGTGGAGGTATATGACTGGGACCGTGATGGCAGGTGAGCTGTGTGTGGTCCTGGAGACCCTCCACACCCTGGACCTGCACCCCTCAGGTGACAGGGATCCCCCACCCCCCCTGCATCCCCGGGGAGATGGAGCCTGCCCCCACCTCGGTTGATGGGAATCCCCCCTGGCTATCCGGGACTGGCTGATGGGAAACCTCCTGGGCAATGGGAAGTCCCCCATCCCCACACCACTGACTGGTGGGGATCCCCCTGAGTAATGGGAACCTCCCTAACCGGACTGATGGAGATTCACTGGCCGTGCAGCCACGACTTCATCGGGGAGTTCACCACCAGTTATCGGGAACTGGCACGAGGCCAGAGCCACTTCAACGTGTACGAGGTGAGGGGGGATGGGTACATGGGCATGGGGGTCCTGCACCACTCCCCAAGGGGGTTAGGGTCCCACTGCTGCACCCCCAGATGTCACGGACCCCAGGGACCCTGTGCTGCACCTCTGTATGTTGGGGTCTTAACACTGCACCCCTTGGGTGTTATGGTCCCCAGGGTCTGTCCCTCTGCTGCACCTCTGTGTGCCAGGGTCTCTGCGTAGGTGCTACATACCCCAGGATCCCCGTGATGCAATCCTGGGATGTTATGGTCCCCAGGGTCCCTCCCAACCCTGCACCCTGGTGTGCCATATACCTAAGGGTCCCTCTCCTGCACTCTGAGTTGCAGTGATGCCCAGGGTCCTCATGCTTCAGCCATAGAGGTTTATAGTCCCCATGATTCCCTGTGCTACAGCCTAGGGTGTTGGGATCCCCACACTGGATCCCTGGGGTGTTATGGTTCCCATGCTGCATCCTGGGGTGCAGCACCCACAGCTGCTCCCTTGAGGGTCCCCAGCCCCCACCATGGACCTACAATCACCAGGGTCCCCACATGCACCCCTGGGTGTCACAGCCCAACATGTGCTTCTCAAGGTCCCTCTCTGCAACTCAGCACAGTGCTCCCACTGCTGCCTCCCAGAGTATTCTGTGCCCCCCTGTCCCCCTGGATGTTACAGTCCGTTACATTGCTCCCTGGGGCCTCCTGTCCCTGTGAGAAGCAGCCCCCTTCCCTCTCCTCTCATCCCTGCAGGTGGTGAACCCCCGGAAGAAGATGAAGAAAAAGAAGTACCTGAACTCTGGGACAGTGAGGATGGGGATGTGCAGAGGGGGAGGACACAGGGGGAGTGGGCACTTCCTCCCCTGAGTCCCATGTCCCCACAGGTGACACTGCTGTCCTTCACTGTGGAGGCTGAGCACACCTTCCTGGACTACATCAAGGGCGGGTGAGCAGGGGGTCCCCAGCACCTCCAGCTGCACTTTTGAGGGTCCTGAACACCCCCAGCTCCTTCCTTGGGAGTACCCAGCACTCTGACCTGCTCCCTCAAGGGCAGAGAATCCCAACATCCCCAGCCTCTACTTCACTGGCAGGGCAGTCCCCAGGACTGCCATCTCCTCCCTTGGAAGTTCCCAGTACCCACTGCTGCTCCCTCGGGGATGGAGTGGAGGGTTGGATGGTGTTCGTGCTCTCCTCAGCTCCTCCCTGGGGGATCCCCAGCACCCTCAGTTGCTCCACTGGGGGATCCTCAGCACACCTAGCTCCTCCATTGGGGGTCTCAGCACTCCCACCAAGATGCCTCCTTGGGGGGTAGGCTGTCCCCATCACCCACAGCTGCTTCATTGGTAGTCCCCAGAACCCACAATTGCTCCCTTTAGAAGTCTCCAGCACTTCCAACAGCCTTGGGATCCCTAACACCCACAGTTGCTCCTTTGGGGAAAGAGGATCCCCACCACTCCCATCTTCTTCATTGTGAATCCTCAGCACTCCACCCAGATGCTCCCTCATGGGCAGGGGCTCCCCAGCACCCCCAAATTGGTCATTTGGGGCACCTCAGCACCCGCAGCCACTCCTTTAGGTGCAGCACTGACACCTCAGTGCAGGGACACTTGGGGGTGCTCTGAATTGTGATATGGGTGCACCCAGTCCAGCCTGTGACCAGAGGGGTGCCCCACTCCAAACCCACAAGTCACCCCCTATGTCACCCCAAGGCCACTTTAACCCCCCAGGACCCAACTCAACTTCACAGTGGCCATAGACTTCACGGCATCCAATGGTGAGTGGCAACTGTGTCCCCCCTGCGGGATTTATTTGGGACAGTTGTAACCAGTTTGGTGTCATGGTGGTGTCATCCTTGTCACCAGCCTGGGGACATGGTGTTGCTGTCCTTGTAGTTGTGTTGGGGACATGGTCACGTCTCTCTTGTCACTGGGTTGGGGACCCAGTGGTGTCTCCCTTGTCATTCCCTTGGGTTAGGGTCATGATGGCGTTGTCCTTATCGTGGGTTTGGGGCCATGGTGGTGTTATTTTTGTCACTGTATTGGCACTACAGTGGTGTCATACTTGTCACCAGCTGTCTCTGGGTTGGGGATTTGGTGCCATCATCACCACTGAGTTTGGGACAGTGGTATCATTCTTGTCACTGGTTGAGGTCATGGCAATGTCTTCCTTGTCACTGTTGGTTCCATGGTGGTGTCATCCTTGTCACCAGCTGTCACCAGGTTGGGGACATGGTGGCATCATGTTTGTCACCAAGTTGGAAATATGGTGGTGTCACCCTTGTCACTGTGTTGGGGATGTGGTGGCATGTGGAGACATGGTGGGATCATCCTTGTCCTTGTAACCATGTTGGGGATGACATCATTCGTGCCACTGGGTTGGGGCCATAGTGGTGCTATGGTTGTGGGAATGCTGGGAGTGTTATGGAGGTGCTGGGGGGCTGTGGGGGTGCTGAGGCCCATGCCTGTGCAGGGAACCCCTCACAGCCCACGTCCCTGCACTACCTGAGCCCCTTCCAGCTGAATGCCTACAGCCTGGCACTGAGGGCCGTGGGGGACATCATCCAAGACTACGACAGTGACAAAATGTTCCCAGCCCTTGGCTTTGGTGCCAAGGTCCCCCCGGATGGGCACGTGTCCCACGAGTTCCCACTGGTGAGGGGCCAAGGCGGGACAGGACTGTGGATGAAGGGTGGTGTCCTTGTCATGCAGCTGGGGCCATGGGGGAGTCATCCTGTCACGTTGTTTGGGACATGGAGGGACATTGTCCTTGGGTTGGGGCTGTGGTGGTGTGATCCTCGTCACTGGTCTGGGGCCATGGCAGTGTCATCCTTATCACCAGGTTAGGAAGGGGCTTGGTGTTGTCACCAGTTTGGGGTCATAGTGGTCTCATCCTTGATCACCAAGTTGGGTATATGGTGTGTTTGGGTTGGATCTGGACTGGATGTGGTGGTATCATCCTTATCCTTGGGCTGGGAACATAGTGGCATCATCATTTTGTGACTGGTTTGGGGTCATGGCAGTGTTACCAGGTTGGAGACATAGTAGTATCATCCTTGTCACCAGGTTCAGGACGTGGTGGTGTGGTCTTTGTCGCTGTGCTGGGCATACGATTATGTTGTCCTTGTCACCTATTCTCACTGTGTTGGGGACATAGTGGTATCATTCTTGTCACTGGGTTGGGGATGTGGTGGTGTCATCCTTGTCTTGGGTTGGGAGCATAGTGGCATCATCATTTTGTCACTGGGTTGGGGCCATGGCAGTATCATCCTTGACACTGAGTTGGGAACATGTTGGTGTCTCCCTTGTCACCACATTATGGACATAGTGGCATCATCCTTGTCAGCATTTGGGGGCCACAGCAATGCCATCTTTGTCTGTGGGTTGGGTGCATGGTGTCACCCTGTCCATGGGTGGGGGCTGTGGTGTCACTGTGCTCCTGGTGACCCTGTGGCAGAATGGGGATGCATCAAACCCGGCATGTCATGGCATTGCGGGGGTGCTGGAGGCGTATCAGCGCAGCCTGCGCCATGTCCAGCTCTACGGCCCCACCAACTTTGCCCCTGTCGTCAACCATGTTGCCCGGTAAGAGGGGCCCCACGCCCTGGGGTGGGGTCCCTGCGCCCTCGGCGTCACGCAGGGTCCCCCTAGCTCGGCAGCCACGGTGCTGGACGGATCCCAGTACTTTGTCCTCCTCATCATCACCGATGGTGTCATCTCTGACATGGCCCAGACCAAGGAGGCCATTGTCAATGTGAGACCCTCATAGTGGCATTGGGGCGGGTGGTGGCACCCCTGGGTGCTGGGAACTAGGGACCCTTGGGTGATGGGGGCAGTGGAGAGGGACTGGGACCCTTGAGGGGGCAGGAAAGGATGGAGACCCCTGGGTGCTGGGGGGTTGAGGAGGAGCTAGAAGGGGGATAGGAAGGGGCTTGGACTCCTGGATTCTGAGGGGTTGGGGGTGGTTGGGACCCTTTGGGTGATGGGATGGGTGAAGAGGAGCTGGGACCCTGAAGCTGAGAGGGAAGGGGTGGGTTGGGACCCTTGCATACTGGAGGGGTGGGGAAGGGGCTGGGAGCCCTGGGTGCTGGGGGGGATGTGGACCCCTGGGTGCTGGAGGTAGTGAGGAGGGACTGGGACCATTGAGAGGTGGGAAAGGGCTTGGACCCCCAGGGTTTGATGTGCAGGGGTGTCTGGAACCCCTGGGTGCTGCAAAGGGACTGGGAAGTTCCTGGAACCCCCTGGTGCCATTGGGGAGGTCTGAGACCTTTGGGTGATGGGGGGGGGTGGGTAGGGGATTGGAATCCTTGGGGGAGGGGGTGTTGGCACCCCTGGGTGCTGCAGGGATCGGGGGGATGGCTCATTTGGTGGCAGCATCATTAAATTTCATGGGACTCCCTTTACCCCCTGGCTCCCTCAGGCTGCCAAATTGCCCATGTCCATTATCATCGTGGGGGTTGGCCAGGCTGAGTTTGATGGTAAGATCTGGGGGCTGGGGGGAACTAGGGGAAGGCTGAGGGGATGGGGGCGGGGTCCCTTGGCCACTGAACTATGAGTTGAATGTGTCAGCATATGAATGGGCTCAGCATACCCCAGCTTGGGGGTTCTGGGTGTGGGGTTGAGAGGGACATAATGGGATCCCATCCTGGGATGGGGGGCACTAGGGTGCTCCTGACCTCCCCCCTACATTGCCCCCAGCCATGGTGGAGCTAGATGGGGATGACATCCGCATCTCTTCCCGTGGCAAAGTGGCTGAGCGTGATATTGTCCAGGTAACCAACCTCACCAATGAGGAATTTGGGGACCCCCTCCCAGCCCACCCAGCAGGGTGATGGTGGGAGAGTGCCCTGGGGAGCTCAAATCAGCCCCACCACTCCTGGAGTGCACTTGGTGGGACTGGTATGGAGGGATGATAAGGTGAACTGGGATATAGGAGGGGCACTGGGACATGGGGATGCAATGGGTTTGGGATGCACCTAGATGGGGGGATGCACTGGGATTTGGGGGTGCACTGGCACATGGTAGGGGCACTTCACTGGGAAAAGAGGGTGCCGGGACTTGGGATGTACCTTGGAATGAGGGTGCACTGGGACATGGGAGTGTATTAGGATATGGGAAGCACTGAGCCATGAAGGAGACAACAGAGACAACAGCATGTGAAAGGAAGTTTACTGGGAAATAGTGGAGGGGGGGTTGGAATTGGGATGTCAGGGATGTTCTGGGACACAGAAGCAGTGCACTGTGACATGGGAGGGATGCACTGGGAAAAAGGAATGCACTGGGGTTTGGAATGTACCTCAGTGGAGGGAAACACTGGGACATTGGGTGCACTGGGTACATGTTGGAGGCCTTCACTGGGAAAAGTGGGTACACTGAGATTTGGAATGGGGGTGCAGTGGGACATGGAAGTCTATCAGGATATGGGGGGCACTTTGGCATGAAGGGGTTTGGTACTGGGAAATGGGGGGACACTGGGATGTGGGGAGCACTGGGACATGGAGGGGCATATACTGGAATATGTAGTTGCACTGGGACATGAAAAGGGCGTGGGCTTCTGGGGGGGCTGTGCTGGGAAAAAAGGGTGCAGTGAGACTTAGGATGTTCCTGTATGTGGGGGGAAGCCCAGATCATTAGCAGGCAGGAACATTGGGACATTGGAGGGAGGTAATGGGATATGGGATGCACCTGGATGTGGAGGGCACTGGGACATGAGGAGGGTGTGCTGGCAAATGAAGGGGGCACTGGGGCACCAGGATGGACCCGGATGGGGGGAGCACTGGGACATGGGGTGTATTGGGAAACAGGAAGAGACACTGGGATGTGGGGGCTGTGGGAAATTGGAGGCACTAGGATATGGAGGGGCATTGGGGCTTGGGATGCACATGGATGTGGGGGTGCCCCGGGGACATAAGGAGGGCTGTATTGGGAAATGGGGAACACTGGGATTTGGGAGTACATTAGGACAT